TAATTATGATAATATATTGTAAAAATATACAAAACTTAGTTTTTTGTTTAGAATTTTAAAATTTTTATATATAAACTAAAAATCATAAGCTTAAAATTATTAACATTGCACGTTTAATCTCTAAAAAGTGGTTCAACTAATTAAGAACTTGATTTCAAATTGAAGATTTCAAATTTAAATCTTAAATCAAGTGATGAAAGATTTTTAAAAATAAAGAGAAGAAAAGTTATTTTTTCTTATATAATCCATTTTCAAATTAAAAAAAAAAAAAAGAAATTAACTGTGCATGTTTACTTGTCTTTAATAATAACTAGTTATAAATTCTGCACCATTAAAATCCTCAAAAAAATACTCGAATATAATGTCCTTATGACACAAATAATTAACCCCGCAAGGCTGAATAAGATAAGCCCAAGACTCAAGCCTTTTTATTATTTCTACCCAGAGGTCCATTGTGCTTTTGATGTGTGAAAACCTTTCTTTAACTAGAAAAACTCATGTCCTCAAGTTGATCATCCTGTTCTAACCCACTACTTTCCTAAATTTGGTTCAAGTTTTGTGAGGACATCTCCAATAGAGAAATAATTATTAAATTCAACATTGATAACTTAAATAATATTTTCAGTATTAATAACAACTGAAAAATTTTTATAAATAAATAATAAGTTTTATAAATAAAAAATAAATACTGAAAAATTTTTTCTCTTGTAAAATCTGACAAGATCCAACATGATTCAATATCAAATTCATTAAGGGTTAATCGTGACTTTTAAATATTAAATTAATTAAAACTTAATGTAATTTTTAAATACCAATTAGTTAGTAAAAAAAAAAATTTACACCTCGCATTGTGCGGATCAGAAAGATTTTTATGGAATGTCCTACTCGTCTAGTGAAATACCAAGACTCAGATCTGGCCCAACATAACATATCCAAGTCCAAATTGCCGGCCCAGGTCGTTCTATACAAGTCCACAACCACGTGAGAGGAGGGGAGGAATCTGAGAAAGAACACAGGACGACGCAGAATTTTCTGGATCATTTCAGAAACGACTTTTTGGTGAAGAAAACGGCGACCTTATTCTGTATCATCCCCCATTGTTACCCTCAGAGACAATCCAGTCGGAAGACCTAAAGCTGTTTCCTCTCCATTTCACAACGCTGATTCTGGGTCTGCAATGTCTTCGCCTGCCGAGTACGATTCTTACTCTCCTTTTCTCTTTTCTTCCCCTCTAGGTTTAGATTTCTAGATGTTTTTCTTGATTCATTATCTGGGTCTATCATGTTCAACTATTAGATTTTAACTTCATATGTTGAAGTAGAGGAAGAAATCATGGGCACTGGTTTGAATTTTTATATTTATGTGGACTCGTTTTGAAACTTGGGTTTGGGGAATTTCATTGGATGGAATGGAATCCCAAGTTGTAGGAGCTACTTCCTGTAAGCATCAGTGTATGTAGAACTTGTGTAATCAAATTATTTTGTTTAGGCTTAATGTAAACTTTTCTGTATTGAACTCAATCAGCTAACTGCTTCGTTTAGGGGTTTTTAGAATTGTGAAATATGGCCTTGCAGATGGGTAATATAGGTCCTGCATAAACCATGCTATGAAATAAAAAAGGTAATAATTGAAAATTTTTTGTATGGCCATCAATAGATTGTAGTATTATCTACTTTCCTGTTTCATTAAATTGTGACAAACTACAGAAATAAACATGATAAAGAAAACTCCAGCCTAAGGTTAGTTTGGGTTATGAACTCATCGATATTTTCCTCACATCTTAGTGGAAAAGTATCAGGTTTCATCATGAGCAGAAGCTGTACAGTTACTAGAGTAGGGTTGCTTCCTTTATTTTGTTTTATTTTATTTTTCCTTTTATTTTTCTCTTTTAGTATTTGGATTCAATTAAGCAATTCAGTTTCTCATCATAGCAAGATGGAGTTGACAGGATGGCTAAGCCATCTGGATGCTTTTAAGTTGGTCACCATCGTGCAAGTTATGTTGCTAGTTGGGCCACTAATTATAGCTGTAGGTAGCATCAACTGCATGACAAGAAAAAAAATGTCTTGTATCAGCAGGATGATCTATGACCATGGGATTTGCGAGATGAAGAAATGTCCAAATACTCTGATGGAAAGAACTTCTCCTAAATATCGTCTGACATCTTCTTCTTTTTTAACTGTTTTGCTTTAATCTGTATCAACTGGGAATTAGCAGAAGATTCTAAGATTTAATAATTGGAGTGATAGCTACTGTTCTTTTAGCTGCTTCTTTCCACTTTTAACGGTCCATATACCCCATTATTGTTTCGGATGCCACTGTTATTTCAAGTAGATGTTTAAAATATTTAATTTTCTATACAGTATTTGATTTTTATTATTCTTTAGTATTGACCAGTTTGCTCACTTTGTTTCAGATACTATAACTCTCTTCCACCTATAACCAAGGCATATGGGACCCTTTGCTTCTTGTTCACGGCAGCCTTTCACTTGGGCTTATATAAACTTTACCACATTGCTTTGATATATGAACTAGTTTTCAAGCATTTTCAGGTATGTATGTGACACATGTAAATTATATGGAACAGGAATTTGATTATTCCACAATACCATTATAAAAGAACAAAAATGTCTTACCATACTAAGGAGAGTGAGCAATGATACTTATGGTTTTCCCTTCTGTAGTGATGTATGCAAGATAGTATAGGAGGATGATTTTGCTTATTCAGGATCATTGACTATTGTTCTCACGATTATTGTTTGTGTTGTGTTGGTATAAGAAGTTGAAATATTGAAGCAAATGGAAAAAAGCAATTAGACTGCACTCAAAGGTGTATTGATAAAGTAAAAGGGACTTAGCTATTGCCCAACCATTCTTGTATTTCTCCTGACCAAAATAACATCTGTGTAGTGTCTAGTGTGAGGCATTTACTTTAGTTTGGACATTTTTGTTTCAGAAGTACTTTTTAATCCATGTAAACGAAGAAAATGATTTATTCATGAGAGATGCACTTGCTTACTTTACCTGCATTAATAGGTATGGAGGCTGATTACAAACTTCTTTTTTCTTGGCCCATTCTCTATCAACTTTGGAATACGGCTTTTAATGATGTAAGTTCTTGTTGCTGTGAATGATGTGGTCCTTTGTTAACTACAAGCATTGATTCTTTTGTGGCAATTCTTGATGAGTTAGAGCGAGATATGGAGTCCAGCTGGAGAAGGCAACATTTGAGAGGAGGACAGCTGATTTCTTGTGGATGATGATATTTGGGGCCTTGTCGTTATTGGTAAGTGCAGCAATCGTCCTTATAATTATCTCTGCAATCTGGTGGTTCAATTTTACATCTTCCATGTGAAGACCGGGGAAATATTTGTTATATATGGTAGGGAAGTTAAGACTTAAGATCAAGAGTGATCCAGTCTTTTACCCAAATGATTGTTCACATTTCTGCATCAATTTTCTCTATACAGATATCTGTTGCATTATTAAAGTTTGCTAACAAGAATTCCTTTTTTCTTGTGGGCCTCAGGCGTTTTCAGTAATTCCTATGTTTGGATCTCCATTCTTAGGGATATCTCTGGTTTTCATGCTTGTATATGTCTGGAGTAGAGAATTCCCAAATGCCAAAATAAACATATATGGCCTTGTGAGCCTTAAGGTATGGTGACTGGTACTCTCATGCATGTTTTCCTTGAACTAACTGAGACTGCCTTCAAATAAGTGACGTGCTGTGGTACGTGTTTCTGGATGCAGGGATTTTACTTACCATGGGCAATGCTTGCACTAGATGTAATTTTTGGTTCCCCTCTCATGCCAAATCTGCTGGGAATTATTGCAGGTCATCTGTATTACTTCTTGACAGTGTTGCATCCTCTTGCAACTGGAAAGAACATCCTCAAGACTCCAATGTGGGTGTATCCTTACTTTGATTGGTTCCTTGAGGTTAACTCTTTGTTTAGCAGCCTATTATGTTTTTACTCAACCCTGAGACCACAACATTATCCACCAAATAAATCAAAAAATAGAGAAAAAATAAATATTGGATAGCCTGCTATGCCATCTGAAGCCTGTCTGCAGAGTTCAGAACCATCAGAATTTTGCTAATCTCAATAAAGATTGCTAGAGTGCATGTCAATAAGTGATCAACAAGGCTATTTTTTACCCAAGTATCATCATGCTGTTTTTCTTAACTTTTACTGTTATATATAGACATAAACTGGTCAGAAGGTGGGGAGTCGGAGCTCAGCCAAGCAATCGTGCTGAACCTGACAGGAATACAGGTGGGCCGTTCAGGGGAAGATCATATCGACTGAGTGGATGATTTCAATGTTCTTGGGGATATTTTCCTGTGGTCTCAACCATCAACCTCACCATTCCTTTTAAGATGGTTCCACTTCCAAAAAGGGGAATGTTCAATTAACGGTCTATTAAGAGGGATGTCTGACATTATTTCAGCAATTTTCAGCGGTTGAATTTTATGTTCCATTTTCCATGCCTTACCAAGAAACTGAATACCTAGGAAACATTTCAAAGTAAACAGTTTTAAGTAGATGTTAATGGTTTCCTTCGAATGAAATTCATTTGCTTAAGTGTCAAATACAAAATTCTGAGTTATTGTTGAATATTGGTAGTTTCTGAATGTTTGTGAGAGAATACTGTCGTAGTCTACGTGTAATATCTGACACTTTGTTGTTGTCTTGAGAAATTCAATACCTTCAAAATTCTAAGTTACACCATAGGTATCTCAGTTTAAACTTTTTGACATTTTCAAGTCTATGATGCAAGAGTTTTACTCCGTCAGTAATATAATCGGTCATTGATAATTTGGACATAAATGATACTCTATTTGATATGATTGCAGTTTTTAATTTTAGTTGACATAATCTAAATACTCGAAATTAACAATTAAAAATTAAAACCGCTGAAGGTTACCTTCAATGAGTTGTGCAAGAGTTGTGTAACTAGAATTTGTTATTCTCCTTAATAAATTGGTAATGCTATGCATAAAAGCTTACAAGGCTGATGTAACATAAATTAAGTATGACGTGTTATTAAATGGTAAAAAATGTAAATTATTCACTAAAATTATTGGATTAAAATGAATTGTCATCTAAAAAAAATATTGACACAATTTATCAACTAAAATTTCTATTTTAGAAAAATCAACATAAATTTAATGATTATTGTTAATTTTTTATTAGACTTTAAGAACAGTTTAGCAGAATTTAATGGTAATTATTAAATTAGGACCAATTTCTTAAAAATAGAAATTTGGGTGGCAAAATGAGTGGAACTTTTTTTTTAAGTGGTGATTTGTTTTAACGCAATAATTTTGAGAGATAATTTGTACATCTAATTGTTATTAAATGAGTAAATATATGCAATATTATAAATAGACTCCAAATAAAAAAATAAGTTATATAACGAGATATTTTATTATAAATTTATAATATTACGTGATATTATAACTATGTTATATTCGTTAATAAAAAGTTAAGTCATTTTTCTCTTACGTTATTATAACACTAATGCTCAGTTTCTATAGATGAATAACCATTCAAAAATTATCTTGCAATCAATGTAATTATAACACTAATAAAAATAGCACATGAGATTAAGAAACCACAGAAATAAGAAGGGAAGTTTTGAATGGTATTATGGTATGGAGGACTAAACGGCTAGGAAGACACGTGACATTACGAGGGAGAAACGCAGAGAAAGGCGGACGTAAAATTGAATGGATCAAAATTTCCGTCCAACAATCAGAATTCACCATATTGCTCTTTTCTCCTTATTTAAATCTCATACATTCTGCAATCACTCCATCCAAATCAATTTCTCCACCACCGAGAACATTGCAGTGTGCCACACTCAACAATCCAAACTAAGCCGGCGAACCAAAGTCACCGTTGTTGTGGTATAAATGTCGTGGCAAACCTACGTAGATGAGCACTTGATGTGCGACATCGATGGCCAAGGCCAGCACCTTTCTTCCTCTGCCATCGTAGGCCACGACGGCAGCGTCTGGGCTCAGAGCGCCAACTTCCCTCAGGTCATCCTTCTTTTCTTTCTTGCTAATTTACTTTTGGATGATAATTTGGCTTTGTATGACGCATCAAATCTTTACTATTTATATTTGTATGCACAAGATTGTTTGGAATTTGAAGCTTTGAGGGGATTTTTTGTGATTGAATATTTGAATTTGGTGCTATTTTTCCCTACAATCTGTGTTTGCAGTTCAAGCCTCAGGAGATCAATGATATCATGAAGGATTTTGACGAACCAGGCCACCTTGCACCTACAGGCCTACACGTTGCTGGCACAAAGTATATGGTTATTCAGGGAGAGCCTGGAGCTGTAATTCGTGGAAAGAAGGTGATGCCATTGTCTACAAATAATCCTCCTCCATTTGTCCAATTGTCATCTGTGTTTTGATCTAATAATCAGACACTTAGCAGTTAATTAATTTGGGCCTGGCAGGGATCCGGAGGCATCACTATTAAGAAGACTGGTCAAGCTCTTGTTTTTGGAATCTATGAAGAACCTGTGACTCCAGGGCAATGCAACATGGTTGTGGAGAGGCTGGGTGATTATCTTGTTGACCAGGGCCTGTAGAGATCTGTCATGATCTTTCCTAGCATTTCTTTTTGGGGAACAATCCATTTTTTGGGTGGGATTTTTTTTTTTTTTTTTAAATCTTTGGGTCCTGGGTCCGCTTTTCCCTTTAAAGCCACGAATTGGCAATGAAGATGCAGACAATAACCATTTGAGAACTAAAATCATTGGATTTAATTTTCCTTTTTGGATTATTATGTGTTAATGTGTATTTAGCATTCTTTCCGCAATTTTGTTATTGCCCTTCGAGTAGTCGTAGCTAAAGAAAATTCCATTTTAGCATTCCAATTGAGTTTCCTACGTATTTTTAACTGTTAAAATCCCGACCGAGTAGCCCAACTCATCAAATCAACCCCCTCTTACACTGTATATAATAAATAGTAATTATCTGTATTATCTTGTAAAAATTAAAAGAAATATTATTTTAAAATTACAT